AGTATATTTTAGTAATAGTAAAGCCTCATATACCAAAACAAATAAAAATCAACCAGAATTGGGGGAACCCAAAACAGAATACAAAGAGTAAGAACCTAACTGCATTACAGATGAATAATATAACCACACTAAAGGAAACGAGGAAGAAAAGAATTAACCTAAGTAACTTTGAAAAACAGTATGTTGACTAGATACTAGAAAGTTAAAGACAAGAAAAAACTTGTATACAAATAGTGCATTCTAATTGACAAATGTCCCTCAGAAGGGTGAGCAATTGGTCACTACTTGATGTGCATTATAAAATTGAACAAATAAATTGGTATACAGTATTACAGATAATGAAGCCAGGTTTCTCACCATTAGAAAAAGTTACAAATAAGAAAAGGTTGAGGAAAAAAAGAAAAAAAAAAAGAAAAGGTTGGTATGAACCTTGTGGTGTTGGGACTGGAATAGAACATATAACTATGAACTCAAATATGGTTTTAATATATAGAGAAAGACAAATATAGAGATAAATGTGTGTATATCTGTTTGCATGTGTGAGCAGGTTAGTATATACGTATATTTCTTTGCTCTGTCCTCTGAGGGCCTAGGAGCAATGACACCCTAGTGAGCATACCCAGCATTCAGGTCTTGATTTAAATTCTGGTCTCCAAAAAAAGGAGTTGATTTCAGGACAGATACAAGGAAAATTACAAGATGAGCACAGACTACAGCCTGTGGTGCCAGAGTATAAGGAAGTGCTAAAACAAGTGTGGAGGCCAACTGGAATGAGTTCCTAATGGCCAAAACTGGAAGAATCTGAGCAACAAAATAATGACACTATTGGATGAGAATCTTTAGAATATATACCCATGAAGTCACAGTCATCAAAATAGATAATCTAACAAACAAATGAGGAAGGAACATCTCTCTCAGGAATGAGGGAAGTAAAAAGTCACCAGCAGGAAAAAAATACCACAATAATAACTGCTGCAGACAATATATACCAATGGCTGCTAAAATCAGTGGGAGAAAATTTGAGGAGAAATAGTGTATCACCATAGTCTCAAACTATCTCCCCTAAGATTATGTATCAACTACAAAAAGAAGAAAAGTAATTTATAGTGGAGAATACAGCAGAGTTCACCTTAAGCAATCAAGGTTAAAATATCACTAGCAATAAGACACATCAACACCATGTACCCTCTAACATCATGCACTGAAGACACAACCCCTCTGTAGTTTTCTTGCAAACATACAGAACCCCAATCTTATCATATGAAAAACATGACAAACCCAAAATGAGAAGAATTATACAAAATAATGGACCAGTACTCATCACAAGTGTCGAGGTCATCAAAGAAAAGGAAAAACAGAGGAACTGTCACAGATTGGAGGAGACGGGACAAGAAAGTTGTAACAACTAAATGAAATGTGGGATCCTGGATTAGATCCTGGAAGAGGGAAAAAAAAAATACACTGGGGAAAAAACAGGTGACATTCAAATAAAGTCTGTAGTTTAATTAATAATATTTCACCAATGCAAATTTCCTGGGTTTGATCACTGTTATGTAAGTCCTCAAAAGTTGAGGATGCTATGTGAAGGGAATCTGGAACCTTTTGTACTGTCTTTGCAACATTTCTGTAAGTCTAACATTATTTCAAAATAGTTAAAAATAAATGTGTGTGTGTGTGTGTTCAGTCATGTCTGACTCTTTGCAACCCCACTGACTACAGAGCCCACAGACTGTAGCCCACTAGGATCCTCTGTCCATGGGATTTTCCAGGCAAGAATACTGGACTGGAGTGCCATTTCCTGCTCCAGATCTTCCTGACCCAGGGATCAAACCGGTGTCTCCTTGTCTCCTGCAATGGCAGGCAGGTTCTTTATCACTGAGCCACCTGGGAATCTCAAAAGCTAAAAATAAATAAAGTCCATCAATTGATCATTTTATGCAACTTTCTTAATTCCTTGCTCAGGGATCTCATCTGGAATTTAACATTCCCATTAATTTAAAGGGTTCAGTAAGTGACAGCAGAACAAACTAAAATCATAAAAATCAGATCTGGCATCTAAAAAGTAAATTACCTACTTTATGTTTTTTTACACCTTCTACATTTTTTAGTCAAAAAAATCTGCTGCTGTTGCAACTTCACTGGCTTTGCAAACTCCTTTTAAAATGAACAATTTTTACATTTTTAGTATCATGATAATCTGCGGTGTGTACCCATAATAACACATTCGTCTGTTAAGCCAAAGTTTTATTTACAAAAAAATTATCAATAGATTATAGTAAGTTTGTTAATTATTACACAGTTGTCCAACCACAAAATACAAGCTTTTTTCCACAAGTTAATTTGCTTTTATCATAATACAAACTTCTCTCCACACCCTAAACCACAAAGTCATCATTTTTGTTATTTTAAGTTCTGAAAATCTGTATTTTAAAAAATCAAAAAAAATAAAAAATCAGCTGTTCAATGTATGTAGTCTTTTTTAAAAAATTTCAAATATTGAGTAATTTAGTCTTTTTCTAGGAAAAAATGCTTGGGACATTAGAATTCTATTTTATTATTTGCATCCTCTACTAACCAAACCAGCCTAATCAAGTCTTCTGAAATTGCTTCAATTAAATAAGATTTTCATATGTTTATATAATATTAACAAAGAGATTAAGTGACGTGTTCACATTTGCTTTCTCCTCCACACACCACCAGGATGGCTGCATTGGGAATGGAATACATGACCAGCAAATGAATGGGTAAGTGTCACATGCAAACAGCATGACTAGAAATTCAAGAAGCAAAGTGATAAGAACCTTAGGGAAAGCAAAATTCATAAAAAGTTTACAATTATAAGAGGCCTTAATAGGTCACTTAATCCATTCCAATGACAACCCCAAATAGATGACAATCTATCCTACTTTTAAAAGCATCCAGAGTTTCAACATCCCTAGATATCTCATTCGGCCATATACAACCATCACCTGACTTGAGGAAAAAAATTTTTTTTTTTTTTTGAGGAAATTATTAAAGACTATTCTTTGCTCCACCTAATGCTTTCTTTCCTCAAATAATATAACAATACATTTTAACTCACTTCCAAGATTTATGAACTGTGTACAGGTGCTTAATACACATGCGTGTATATACATACACATATATGCGTACAGACACCTAGGACACTCAATTTTGCTTCCACAAACACTAACTAAAATCTACATAGTCAAAGGCACATGTCCATCCCATTCCAATCACAAAAGCACTAGGAAACAATGTCACCTAATGCTTTTGGTCTAAAAATAACCACTGGAAGTCAATTTTATAAAATCTTATGGTAAATAGGTTTCTTCCCACTACGAATAATCAAAGTTTATTTGCTTTTCACAAACACTACTTTACAGCACCGTCACCACAGGCAGAATTGTAAAAACACATATGTACTAGGATCAAGTTGATGATAACTTTTAATGTTTTATTTTTCAAGAGCATTTAGCAAACAATCAGTTTGGAAGAGGGCCCAATGAAAGAGAGAGTGATGATAGAGTACAGCCAGTGCTAATGAAGAAGTAGCCAGTTTTAATCAAGCAAGCCTAAGAAGTGACTCAAATAAAACAAAACAGTTTCGCAAGTCCCAATCAAGGATGAGCCAAACACTATTTGAAAAAATTAAAGTGTCTGTTAGGAAACAAACCAAAATATGTTAAGCTTGACATGCTACCTCTGGAAATGGAATTACAAGGATAGGTTAGTTTGCTCAGATTTGGTATTCCCTATTATTGTGAGTATTCTTATTTTCTACAGTATTGCACAGATCGTTTTTAAATTAAGGCAAAGTCCGTCCCTGTGTTTTACAGCTCTCTACGATGCATAGCATGTCTTTTACGTAACCTACTGGGAGAGGTGGGAGGTGGTATCAGCTCTGGTCCTCCTCGTGTCTCCCATGAACCTGCTACCCATCACAAAAAAGGTTTCACCATGTTCTTTGAGACAGCTCCTGTCATCATCCTCCTCGTCTCACCCCAGGGACTTAACAATGCATCTCTTCTCCTCTCCCGGTAGCAGAAGCTTTATAAATTATGAGACGGAAGATTCGGAGAAAGGTTTACCAGATGATGAGGCTTCCCCACCCAAAAGGCATAGAAAAGGGTTGAAAGGCACGTCGTCCCAACCTCCAACCTTCAAAAGGCAGATAATGGTGGGACACCGGGGACGCGGCTCTCCTCGGATCCCGAAAAAAGAGTCGGGCCGCCAATCCACCCCACCCCACCGCCCGCCCCGGTCCTAGCCCTGGCTGGGGGCGGGGCTCTCGTTAGCGGATAAAGGGGTGGGGAAGAAGGTCAGGGATGCGACCACCGAGGGCCGAGGGACAGGTAGCAAGCCGCTGGAGGGGCGGGTCCCTCCGCCCTCTGGGGCCGGTAGCTCGGCTTCTAATGCGGCTCTGCAGGCGCCTGGGCGGCAAGAGGCCTCAGGGGGCAGGGGAGCCGCACCGCGCCAGGAGAGTTTCCTCAGGCCTCCGCTTGCCGCCCACCCGGGACCCCTGCGGCCCCTCTCCGCGGTGGCTCCCGAACGGCTCCGGCCGGCCATCCCGGGCCAGCGGTACGCACGCACAGGCGGCCAGGAGGGCAGAGAGGAGGCGTTACCATACGCGGCTCCAGAGCTGACGGGGCTGGGACAGGGCTCCGGCGACCCGCGGCAGCGGCTGCGGTGGCCGCGTCCTTTATTTTTGCTGCAGCAGCGGCGACTTGTCAAAGGGAAAGACGTAAGAGGCGGCGGCAGCGGCGGCAGGCGAGTCTCGCGGGACTTGAGCGGAACTCTCGCGCAGTTTGGAGCCCTCGCCCCGCCCACCAGGCCCAGCGCGGGAGGCGAGAGCGACTGGGGGAGGAGCGCATGGGCGAGGTTGTTGGAGGACGGCAAAAGGGAGGGGGATTTAATGGATGGGGGTAGGGAGGGGGATTTAATGGATGGGGGTGGGGAGCCGAGCTTCTGGGAACACCCCGCCGCGGCGCAGCCCTCACCTTTCAGGCCTCGTGGAGTCTGCACTGCTCTGATTCCGCCTTTGAACACGTTAGGGGCGTTTCATAAAGGGCAGTGAGGAGTAAGGGGGCGGCCAGCGCGCCCCCTTTTCCTCTTGGTGGGCGTGGAAGACCCCACCGGGATGGAGGGACGCCGGGAAAAACTGGCTGCAGGGGCTGGGCAGCCACACCCCTTTATCTCGGACGCTCGCGACGCACTCAGTGTGCATTATCTCCCAGCTCAAGACTTCTGGCCGGTCAGGTTCAGTCACGTGAAAGCGTTTCACTTGACTGAGTTCTAGCTTATTCGCGTCTTTGCGCTGCAGGAATGCCAAAACCCCGCAGACGCTGGGGCCTGCGACGACTCTCAATTTTTTTTTTTCTCCTGAGCAACACGGGTAAATTATGACCTTGATCTTGACCTCTACAGTGAAGTCTGAGTGAAGAGACCGTGACTGGCTTAGTCATCACTGTGTCCCCCAGCACCTAACACCGGTCCAGGTGCTCACTAGATTGTCGAATGACTATACCGGGCCTCTTCTTCCTTCTGTACCTGTTTTTACTCCAAGACTGCATTTTTAGCCTAATCCTGGTATCCTTCGTTGAAAATATGTGTCATTGACTGAGATCATGGAGCCGATCTCTGCCCTCACAGTCTAACTGGGGACATGAGGAATGTGCAATATACAGGCCATGTAAAAAAATTGTGGTATAGGCAGAAAAGGGAGTGCTTGCCCCATGGATATATGGGAAGCAGTTTAGCCAAGAGTTACTTGACTGACTGTCAGATAATTTATCTCACTGTCAGACACAGGTGAGAGGGAATTCTTGAGTCCCACTCAGGAGGTGTGTGACTTTGGACAAGTTGCTTGACCTCTCTGAACCTCAGAGGGCCTTTATCTGTTAACTCATAATGTTAGTTCTTATTATCACAGGGTGTCTGTGAAGAATAAAATATATATAAGTCTCTTGACACATTAATCATTAAAGGCTAAGCCTTATTGTGTGTGTAACTTTCTAAGTTTCTACCTGTGAAATGTATGACTATTTCTGGTAAACTAGATGTGAGGGAGTGGGTATCTGTGAAGTGATGTCAGTATTGCCAGTGCTTTATGATCTGGGTATTGTATGTAAAGCTGAAATAAGGTTAACAAGCTCCCTTGCCAGCCTTATTTTAGCTTGTTGATGATGTAGGCATCAGTTTGCCACTCAAAGCATCCCATGACATTCCATTTTTCTTGGATTTGTAAAACTCCACTGGAACTCCACTTTTTTTAAGGTCAATTGAGACATTCCCTCCTTTGCCCTCTCCATAGCTTCCCCCCTCAGGACAGTGTGGAAAAGAGAAAGGGATACAGTTGACTCCAATTGCATATAATTATGAAATACAAATAATATCAGCAAGTAAGCCCTGAATTCCTTTCACCCTCACCTTCATCACTCCTCCGCTTTCCTGGCCACTCTTTAATACTCAAATCTGCTGGGGACTTTGCCAGTGATCCAGTGGCAGGGGGCCATAGTTCAATCCCTGGTCAAGAAACTAGACTAAAAAACTTTCATGCCGAAACTAAAAGATGCCATATTCCGCAGTGAAGATCAAAGATCCGATGTGTCACAACTAAGACCCGGTGCAGCCAAATAAGATATTTTTTAGAAACAACAACAAAGAAAAACATCTACTGAAGTCTCATAATCAGCATCACACTCCAAATTCTACCAGTTGATTTTATTCAAATTTCCCCTGGAGAAAAATGTTGGAGATGAGGGGGTGAGGTCATGGAGAGCTGGTGGAAATAAAGAGAACTAAAAGCCAAGGCCTCATATTTATAGGCTCCTGCCCTGATCTTGGAGCTACACACTCTGACCACCACAATCAGCTACATCTTTTCTCACACACACATCATCCCCATCTCATACCAAATACTCCACAACCCTACAACTCAACCAGGAGGTCCCAGATAGAGGAAGTGGAAAATCAACAGAAAAATACATTTTTTTGATCTTTCATTTGCATATGGGGAATATGATGCGAAGAGCTGACTCATTTGAAAAGACCCTGATGTTGGGAAAGATTGAGGGCAGGAGGAGAAGGGGACAACAGAGGATGAGATGGTTGGATGGCATCACCGACTCAATGGACATGAGTTTGGTAAACTCTGGGAGTTGGATGGACAGGGAGGCCTGGCGTGCTATGGTTCATGGGGTCACAAAGAGTCGGACAGGACTGAGCGACTGAACTGAACTGAAATAAAAAGTGGGGCTAAGTCAGAGGTAAAAGGAACCAACAGAGAAGTGAAGGGTGGAGGCAAAACAGAAAATTGAAAAGGTTCAGGGGGTAAGTTTGTTTTGGGCTCCAGTGCAGAAATCCACAATCATGAGTCCTGGTGTCTCTTGAAATTGCAGCTTATCTGCCCTCAGTTTACACAGCCTTTCTGGATCCCCTCTAACATCTGTAAATAGGGCCAATAATGGATATCTTGCCTACCTTGAGGTATCACGGGAGTCGAATAACACAGGAAAGTACTTGTAAGCCTAAAACTCTGCAGATATGATGCATTATTTTCATTCATCCATTTAACAGATCTTTGTTGAATGCCTATCATAAGTCAGGCACTTGTGCAAGACACAGAATATATTAAGTTGAGCAAGCTTTAATACCTACCTTCAATGAGCTTATGGTGTAATGGGAGGGGGAAGGGAAGAAAATTGATTAGTATAATACAGTGTGAGGAGACTGGAAGTGACAAGGGTATGGGGGGAAGAATTGAGTGAGAGGAAGGCTGAACAGGGCTGAAACACTTCTTGGAGAAGGTTTAGAAGGCTAGCACACGTGAGGATCCAGCCCATTTCCTAAAGAGTGATTCATAAATCAACTCCAAAATAACTTCAAGAAATTGCTCTGTTGTGGGTTGTGAATTTTGCTTTGTTCTAATAAAACTCACATCTCCTAAACAATTAGAGAAGAGCCTTTGATGTGGAGTCATTGTACTTACCCATTAGCTTTGAAGAAAGATGGAATTAATGGAGGGAAAAATCAGTGGTATCTTCATTAGAAACATTTTGTTCTTAAAGCTTCTGTTTAAACACCAGGGAAGGAGAATACATTCCCCTTCAAGAACTTGGTCTCCAGGAGTTTCCTTCAGCCAGTCTTTCTGATCCAAGTAATACTGCCTATCAGAGAAGCTTTTCCAAAATGTGAAAACAATACCTTATTTGTATGTGTTTCTTTATATCTCACTTTTTTTTTTTTTTTCACAAAAAGACTTTTAGATAGATATCAGCACTATCCTTAAGCATGTTCCAAGAGAGTGTATATATTATTCAATTACTTCTCACATTTATTGGTGCCTGCTGTGTATAAGACTTCATGCTGAAACTACAGGCTGTACGAAGCAGGTCCACGCCATTTGGGTCCTGAAAAGTGAAGATGGAGATAAATGTCCGTGAAAAGATAGCTAAATTACCAACAATGTGGTTTCCATTCCCCTGTAATTTTTGTGGGTGGAATGAGCAAAATTGTAAAGTTAGACACCCAACTTCTGAAACTCATTTACCTTACCACTCCGCAAGAGAAGCAGGATCCAAAGGAAGGGTGAAGATATTTATTGTAACTTGATATTTATAGATGTATGATAGATATTTTAGTAGGTCCTCTGGAATACATCATTCTTTAAACAGAGTATAACCCATTGCAATTTTCTCTGGGTACTCGTAAAATTGGAAACTGACCAAACCCAAGGACTAATTAAAATTATTCTGGAAGACAAAGACTTGCATGGAACAAACAAAACCAGCCATCAATAAAAAGCAGTATGATATGAGCTAAAAGATTGTACAGAAAACAAACAGTCTCAAAAAAGAGATTTTTAGAACTTCACTCTGTACATCTGTGTCTCTTTTTCTGTTTTGCATATAGGGTTATCATTACCATCTTTCTAAATTCCATATATATGTGTTAGTATGCTGTAATGTTCTTTATCTTTCTGGCTTACTTCACTCTGTATAATGGGCTCCAGTTTCATCCATCTCATTAGAACTGATTCAAATGAATTCTTTTTAATGGCTGAGTAATATTCCATGGTGTATATGTACCACAGCTTCCTCATCCATTCGTCTGCTGATGGGCATCTAGGTTGCTTCCATGTCCTGGCTATTATAAACAGTGCTGCGATGAACATTGGGGTGCACGTGTCTCTTTCAGATCTGGTTTCCTCGGTGTGTATGCCCAGAAGTGGGATTGCTGGGTCATATGGCAGTTCTATTTCCAGCTTTTTAAGAAATCTCCACACTGTTTTCCATAGTGGCTGTACTAGTTTGCATTCCCACCAACAGTGTAAGAGGGTTCCCTTTTCTCCACACCCTCTCCAGCATTTATTGCTTGTAGACTTTTGGATAGCAGCCATCCTGACTGGCGTGTAATGGTACCTCATTGTGGTTTTGATTTGCATTTCTCTGATAATGAGTGATGTTGAGCATCTTTTCATGTGTTTGTTAGCCATCTGTATGTCTTCCTTGGAGAAATGTCTGTTTAGTTCTTTGGCCCATTTTTTGATTGGGTCATTTATTTTTCTGGAGTTGAGCTGGAGGAGTTGCTTGTATATTTTTGAGATTAATCCTTTGTCTGTTGCTTCGTTTGCTATTATTTTCTCCCAATCTGAGGGCTGTCTTTTCACCTTGCTTATAGTTTCCTTTGTTGTGCAAAAGCTTTTAAGTTTCATTAGGTCCCATTTGTTTATTTTTGCTTTTGTTTCTAAAATTCTGGGATGTGGGTCATAGAGGATCCTGCTGTGATTTATGTCGGAGAGTGTTTTGCCTATGTTCTCCTCTAGGAGTTTTATAGTTTCTGGTCTTACATTTAGATCTTTAATCCATTTTGAGTTTATTTTTGTGTATGGTGTTAGAAAGTGTTCTAGTTTCATTCTTTTACAAGTGGTTGACCAGTTTTCCCAGCACCACTTGTTAAAGAGGTTGTCTTTTTTCCATTGTATATCCTTGCCTCCTTTGTCAAAGATAAGGTGTCCATAGGTTCGTGGATTTATCTCTGGGCTTTCTATTCTGTTCCATTGATCTGGGACTATCATTCTTAATTCAAGTTTGAAATTAAGAGGGAAAACGTGCTGATTGGCCAGGCTAGGATCAGTGCCCTTCCCTAGGACAATCCCAGGGGGCCAAGAGGAAGTGCAGTGTACAACATAGATATACATCTTAGTATTCGCTAATGGTTTGAGAAGTGGGAGATGTGTGTGGAAAAGCAGCTGAGTCTTGTAAGGCTGTGCTCTGGGAGCTGGAAGGACTGAAGTTAGCATCTATACAAGGAGCAGATCAGGAGATCAGGAAGGGAGGAACTGTTTTGGCCCAAAATTATGGTGAACATTCACTGGACTGTTAGGCTAAAACAGGGTTGAAACTTTGGTACTTGTTGCAATTGGTTAGTGCTTTGTTATTTCAATCAAGATGTTGTAAAATGGAGCCGGTCTCTCACAGTGACTTGGTATACTGCACAGCAAGATCTAGGATTGTTCTTCAGCCTTTTAGCTGGGTGACTTTAGGTGAATATCTTAACCAACCTGAGCCTGAATTTCTTCACTGAAAATAATAGTATAAGGACAGCTAACATCTATTGAGGGAAGGCCCTGGTGGCTCAGTGGTAAATAATCCAAGTGCCAATGCAGGAGATGTGGGTTCGATCCCTGGGTTGGG